TGTCGTAATATTATCGTAATAAGTTAAGATTTGGTGGTCATGAAGCAACTGGGGTTGAATTAACAGAACTAATTAATAGTGTCCTACCATTGTGTTAAAGAACTTGAGCACAATTTTAGCCCCACCTTTAACTAATATCTTTAATTCTTGTTTAATGGAAGGTCTTTTTCCATCTGAATGGAAGAGTGCTGATGTCTGCCCAGCCCCCAAGAAAACCAAAGTTGTTGATATAGAGAATGATTTAAGACCCATATCACTTACCTCACCAGTAGCGAAAGTCTACGAGAGTCACCTTAACTCACTACTACTTGATCATGTTGGCCCCAAATTGGATGATCGCCATTTCGGATCTGTTAAAGGTTCGTCCACAACCTGTGCATTGGTGGATCTCATGAACTTTCTATATTCCAATACCGACAACACAAACGATGCAATTAGACTCTGTTTTTATGACTTGAGTAAAGGCTTTGATAGAGTGGATCATAACATCTTATTGGATATCCTGAGAGAATTGGATGTCCATCCTGTTCTAATTCAGAGTATTCGTAGTTTCTTGACAGGAAGGCACCAAAGAGTGTGTGTCAACGGTTTTTCATCTGAATGGAAACCGGTACCAGCTGGAATTCCGCAGGGTAGTGTTTTAGGACCTACTCTTTTTCTGTTAATGGTAAACGCTCTGGCTTACAGAGAATCGTGGAGATGGAAGTATATGGACGACCTGACTATTAGTTAGACCCTTCATATTGTGAATAACTTGTGCTCTAGTAATCTCCAACAAAGCTCGAATGATATTTGTGAATTTGTACACGAAAAGAAAATGATGCTTAACCCAGTAAAATGCAAAGAAATGTTTGTCTGTTTCAAAAGAGTACCTCTAGTGATTGATAATATTACCATCAACAACGTCCCAATTGAAAGGGTATCTACCTATAAATTACTTGGGGTTAATCTGTCATCAAATCTTAAGTGGAATGAGCATGTCAATATGATAACAAAGAAAGCTGTGAAGCGTATATACTCTGTGAGACGTCTGAAAAGGGCGGGCGTTGCAGATACAGACTTGGTCACTTTCTACTCAGCATGCGTAAGAACAGTATTGGAGTATGCTTGCCCTGCATGGTTTTACAGTACTACTGAATACCTTAGAGAACAAATTGAATCCATCCAACGCAGGATCATGCGAATAATTTTCCCTGATACTAGTTACCAAGAAGCCTTAGATCTTGCTGCCATCCCTCGGCTATGTGTGAGACTGGAAGACCTATGTGACATATTTTTTCTCCAACATCATGAAGGAAAACCATAAACTACATGACCTTTTACCACCTACTTACCAAACTCATTATAATACCAGGTCCCAGGCCTCTGGAATACAATTCCAGTTGCCAACATATAAAACTAATAGATCTCGAAACAATTTTATTGTCAAATCTGCTGTGAAATGGAACAATACGATTAGGAAGAACATAGGGAATGTATAGCCCTGCATATTTTTAAAATGATGACTTTTATCAGGATTTCCGCCCTTTTGTTATGTTGCAGAGCGATGACTTGTTAAGTTACTCTAGTTTAGAGTGCAATAGCTTAACTGAGAACCCTACCAAGGAGAACCATTGGCGAGCACAGACGATAGTGAATCTTCTGATGAAGAACAGGATGAAGATTCCATTCTACCCTCAATTTTGGAGAAGCGATTCGAAAAGGTTATTTCTTTAGCTAATTGGTAAGTTCTAAAAATGTTACAAATCCACCCTATTATGATTTTAATGCTGATTTTACCTGACCTTTGCCATATTATTTGATACTTGTAGGTGCTTGTGTGGCAACTGTGCTGATCAAGAGCTGGTCAGTGCTCATGAGTACCACTGCTGTAAAGAGATTGTGGAAAATTTACTTGGATTGGCAAGGATGTTGAGTGTATCCTTGCTCATCCAGACTTTAATGCAATGACAAATGCGATGGTTCTACGTGAAGTTGGACCTCTTTTAATAAGGGACATGAATGGTAGCTGTTACCGAATAAAAAATGGTGCAGATAAAAAGTATGTAAATCTACTTAGTTCAAAACAATTTTGTCCAGTACCAATAGTAAAGCAAGTATCATTTCTTCTTTTTTCTAAAGATTACTGTGTATTTGTTATAGATTCCTGAGAGCTGTATCATATCGCGGGCTGTCAAGATGTTATTTGGAATGATGGGTTGGGACAAACAAAACCCTTAATTGTCAGCATGCATCTACCATCTATCAGGTCTACATTCCCTACAGGCATGCTAATGGTTATATATCTGGAGAGGAACGAGCAGAGAAAGACAGCTGAAGTGACTATGGCATGTTTTTTTATAGCTTTCAATAAATAGAATATTAATAATTAACTTTATGTGCCAGTCCATACATATTTTTTTCAAATATAAATAAATTCTATATATGTTTGCCTCTTTCCTGAGTAAAATATATGATCAAGAGGCAAGTTACACATAATTAAAATGTAAACAGTTTTGCTGCACACTACCATAACTTAGCTGCTTCATACAGTTTTAAATTTTAGCCAGATATCCAGGATTGAACCTGGGTTACATTGAGCACTTTTACAGAATAGTGTGCCAACTATACCGGTAAACCCAGGTTACGTATCGTTACAGATTATAAAGTAACCCCAGCTACTTAAAGTAAACCAGGTTGATTCAGGTGAATGGGATAAAATCACCTGAAATACAATAAGACATTCAACATTTTGAGCAAAGGCTCTTTGCCTGGATGTTATCAGGGTGGACCAGGAAAACAGGTATTTTTACACAAATCAACAGCCAAAAAACACAGTGGCAACTGGCACAGCATGTTCGATATTATTTAGAACAAGCACATTCCATAAACTGGTACTTTGTTAGAATTTTAAACTGTGGAACTATGTATGTAAATCTGCTCCTCCCAACTGCTACGACACTCTTTTCAACTTTAAAACATACCTACACAAAACTTATCTCCACTTAACAGCCACTGTTTACACTCTAGACGAACCTATCTCACACTCTTTGATCACGACCAACTGACATTTTCCACTCCTCCATGTATCTCTTTCTACCTCTTTTCATCTACTGTGCTTCTAACCTTCCTTTTCTATTTCATATATTTTGTCTGTTCTGTAATATTTAGTGGTGAGCACCCTGCATGGGACATGGTCTTGTTTGTGCTTTGCCTCTTTTGGCACCTGTTTTGTTTGATGTTGTCCATATGTTTCTCAAATGTAATAATCTATGTGTATTATTCATGTGTCAAAATAAAGCTTAAGTAATGATATATCCAAACCAGGTTGAAGCTGTTAAACCTGGGGTGGTTTTGTACAGTAAACACATGGTAGCCTCGTTTTTTTTTGCTTCAACAGGGTTTAATCACATATTTCCCTCACTACCCATTGCATACGCTTTTGTCTTCTACATTTCCCCAGGAAACATGGAACACGACTATGGACAGTATATGACGACACCGTCCCGTACACATTTGAACAACCACTTTGCCAGCTTTTATTCCCTGATCTTGAACATTTCAATTGTGGGAGAAAATTATGTTTATGCACATGCCTAAAACGAATGAACACTGAGATGTGTTTCTGCTTGTGCATATATATGAAAAGTGTTCGTACCACAATCATAAGACAATCAAACAGCATCAAAACAGGCAACACACCACACACGATTCCCTCGGCTACCATGTATTTACAAACTAAACACATGCTTTGAGGGAAATTAGTGATTAAATGACCCCGCAAACCTCGAGAGGTTTAGTAAAAGTTTTACTAAACCTCCCTCGGTTTGCGGGGACATGTAATCACTAATTTCCCTCAAGCATGCATTTACTTATAAAAAATCATGCTTTACATTCCATTTAAATTCACAGCTATGGGGAGTATGGCATAATTTTGTTCATATTCTATTGGGTTATTCTAGAAACATCCACACCTCATCACTTCCACACAAAAAATTTGGAGTTACACTACTCCCCTTTGGATGCCTTGATGCATTTTAGAATTTATCGAAAGTAGATTTCCCACCTTAGCCCCATATGGACAGCAGAAATTTTCCTTACAGAGGGGTGTGGATAATTTCTGGAATACCCATTCAGACTATTGATTTTACAACATCAAGGGGAATGTGACCGGGGATGGCCTTAAATAGGTGCTTTGCAGTTTGAGCATTGTCTTGCTTTCCTTTTTGGTGGTGGTAGATCTGCCGTCGACTTTCGTTTTTCTGCCTCAATCAATGATGTTTGTTCTGAAGCTAAAATGATCAAATGTGAGGAGATTATAACAACAGGAGAAACTCAGTTATTGATTGCATTTATTATTGATTGCCTAAAATATTAAATTCAGAAAAACAAAAAATAGGAATTATACAACATATAAAATATTATTAAAATCCGAGCCTCAAAATGTTGTCATACTCCTAATGTTCGAAGCTTTAACTTACTGGTGAATTAGATTTAGTTGTTCCAGGAACTTCAACACTTTTATCGATCAATGTGTATACATACAAATCACTGTCAACCTATTTATGTAGGTTGTTCAGGCTCCAGAAACCACTTGTTTTAACCTTACTGGGTTGAAATCAGTTTTTGATGGATTACAGTATGTCAAAAACCATACCGTACCTGTAATAACGCAAAATGCACTATTTTATTTGATGGTGAACACATCATAAACTCCATACTTGGCGGAATGCCCCCACTGTTGTTTGCACTGTTACAGAATTTTGCACTGCTGTTTGAGGTTAATTGCACTGAAATAGTTGAGCAAGATTTTGATGTATATTATTAGAATGCTTATTGTACCTATTAATTATTTTATCAATAGAATAGAAAAAGGTTCTGTCTCTGGCTGAGAAAAGCAAAGCTTTTTCCGAAGCATGGAGAAGTATGAATGACGAAAGGAAAGCAGAGTACAATGCAAGAGCAAAAATGAGGAAGCTGAAAAAGTTTCTTTGTTGCATTCAAAGAAGGAGCTGGTTAATAATGCCCTGCTGAAGCTAAAACAGTGAATCTACTATTCCTACTTCACACAACTATCATCATCAGTGCTTTGGCAATAATGTTGAGATATTTTGGCCCTTTTACTCTGTCTAACACCAGGCGATTTTTCTCACCAAGATGAGTGCTTGCAGTTAATACATTTAGGAATTTTAGGAGGGCTTTAGAGGCTTGTTTTCTATCTCCAATAGGCCATTCAATTGAATATAGCACTCTCCATTTCGATGGGTTCCTCCATACCCATACTGGAAAGTTCGTGTTTCGCACGCCAAAGATTTTGCGCCGTAATTTTCGCCAAAATATTTCACGCCAAAAAAGTCCTTCCAGCTAGACCAACGTGCATCAAATGCGAGTGGCAAAGCCACGACCCGAGCGCCGTACGCGCGAGCATTTTAGGTGGGTCCAGGGGTTGAACGGCCTAGAATCTCTCAAATGACATTTCCTGGACTTTGGAGGTGCAGAATTCTGATGGTCAGGAAGCCTAAAGGCTTTTTCCCAGTATATATATTTCGAAATCCATGAGAATCTGTGAGATATTAACAACCTGTGAGTATATATATATATATATATATGCAACAAGTGTACACACTCTGCTCGGCAGACAAATCATAGATAATATACAAACAGGTTATAGCACTGCCACGACTCCAAGTGAAATTATTTAATAAAAAAATATATATATAGCTTTAAATTTTCGGCAGCATGCCACCACCTTCG